AAGGAAGGAAGGGAGAGAGAGGAAGGAAGGAAGGGAGAGAGAGAAAGGAAGGAAGGGAGAGAGAGAAAGGAAGGAAGGGAGAGAGAGGAAGGAAGAAAGGACGGAAGGAAGGAAGGAAGGAAGGAACAGGCTAAACTGACACAGAGGACCAGTGGGAGATTGCCCGGTGATAAGGCAGAGGGAGAGAGCTCCCGGCAGAGGGAAGGGTACAAGCAAACTAGAGTGGGTGAGACACAGCCCACTTCAGAGGACCATTCAAACCAAACCAGTAGTCAGAGAGTCAATTCCTACTCAAGGGGAACTGAGCTCCACACGGTTTTCACGGCTGTGACTTTTCTGAAGCAGAGCACCAGGCCTTCTTCTGAGGTGCCTCCTCTGGTTGGGTTCAAACTGCCAACCTTTTGGTTAGTAGCCAGACAGCAGGTAATTCAGGTGGCTGTAACATGGATTTGGAGTCCCTGGATGTTGCAACAGTCATCACTCTCTGCTAACTGAAAGGCTGGAGGTTGGAGTCCACCAGAGGTGCCTCAGAAGAGAGGCCTGGCAATCTGCTTACGAAAAACCAGCCATTGGAAGCCCTTTGGAGCACAGGTCTACTCTGACACACATGGGGTCACCATGAGTCAGAGTTGACTTGATGGCATCTGGTTTATTAATATTGGATCATAGTGAAGAAAGTTGCTAGAGTGAGAGGAAAAGCCCAACTGCGGAGGCCTTGGGAGACTCCAAGGGCTTCATCTGGGAGCAGCAGAGCCATCAAAGGGTTGAAGCAGCAGAGTGACACAATCAAGTCTGTTAGGAGAAGTCTCTGAACTCTGACACATTTGCTGGTGGGTGAAGAAATTGGTACAGGCTCCCTGGAAATCCATTAGGCAATAGGCATTAACTTTGGAACCTCCCACGCCCTTTGACATGGCAGTTCTTCTGGGACAGATTTATTCTACAGCTGTAGGGGCAGTGGTGGTTTGGTGGTAGAATCTCGCCTCCCATACAGAAGACCTGGGTTCTATTCCCGACCAATGCACCTCACGCACAGCGATTACCCATCTGTCAGTGGAGGATTGTGTGTTGCTGTGATACTGAACAGATTTCAGTGGAGCTTCCAGACTAAGATGAAGTAGGAAGAAAGGCGTGGCAATCCACTTCCAAAAACCAGCCAGTGAAAACACTATGAGTCACAATAGTCTGCTCCCCAACCAATCATAGGGAATGCACAGGACTGGGCAGTATTTTGTTCCATTGTGCATGGGTTCACCATGAGTCAGGGCCCACTGGACAACAGCTAACTACAACAACATTCTAAGCTACAGCCACACATGTGGGAAATCACCGCAGCACAGTTTGTATTAGGAAAAGACTGGTAGAATTTTTTTGGCTCACGGAGATTAAGAGTCCAAAATGAGGATATTAGCCATGTTGATTCCTACTGCCGGCTCAGGTGACAGTTTCTGGTGACAGCTGGTGATCCTTGGTGTTACCTGGCTTGTAAATGTTGTTGTTGTTAGGTGCTGTCGAGTTGCTTCCGACTCATAGGGACCCCATGTACAACAGAACGAAACACTGTCTGGCCCTGTGCCATCCTCATAATCGTTGTTATGCTTGAGCCGCTCGTTGCAGCCACTGTGTCAATCCATCCCGTCGACGGTCTTCCTCTTTCTCGTTGACCCCCTACTTTACCAAGTATGATGTCCTTCTCCAAGGAATGATCCCTCCCCATAATATGTTCAGAATACGTGAGGTGAAGTCTCACCATCCTCCCTTCCAAGGAGCATTCTGGGTGTACTTCCTCCAAGACAGATTTGTTCTTTCTTCTGGCAGTCCATGGTATATTCAAAATTCTTCGCCAACACCATAATTCAAAGGCATCAATTCTTCTTCTGTCTTCCTTCTTCATTGTCCGGCTTTTGCCTGCATATGAGACGAATGAAAATACTGTGGCATGAGATACTACCTCACCCCAACAAGGCTAGCATTAACCCAAAAAACTCCAAATAATAAGTGTTGGAGAGGTTGAGGAGAGACTGAACACTTATACACCATTGGTGGGAATGTAAAATGGTATAACCACTTTGGAAATCGATTTGGTGCTTCCTTAAAAAGCTAGAAGTGCCATACGATCTAGCAATCCTGCTCCTTGGAATATATCCTAGAGAAATAAGAGCGGTCACATGAATAGATATATGCACACCCATGTTCATTGCAGCACTGTTCACGATAGCAAAAAGATGGAAGCAACCTAGATGCCCATCAACGGAAGAATGGATAAACAAATTATGGTATATCCACACAATGGAATACTGCTCACTGATAAAGAACAATGGTGAATCTGTGAAACAACTTATAACACGGAAGAATCTGGAAGGCATTATGCTGAGTGAATTTAGTCAGTCACAAAGGGACAAATATTGTATAAAACCATTATTATGAGAACACAAGAAAAGGCTTAAATACAGAGGAAAACATTTTTTGATGGTTACGAGGGTGGGGAGGGAGGGAGAGAGGTATTCACTAACTAGATAGTAGACAAGAATTATCTTAGGTGAAGGGAAGGACAACACACACTACAGGGGACATCAGCACAACTGG